GACAATCAGGGGATCAGGCCCAGCCAGCATGGGTTCATGAAAGGCAGGTCCTGCCTGACCAACCTGATTTCCTTCTGTGACCAGGTGACCCACCTGGTGGATGAGGGAAAGGCTGTGGATGTTCTCTACCTGGACTTCAGCAAGGCCTTTGACACGGTTTCCCACAGCATTCTCCTAGCAAAGCTGGCAGCTCGTGGCTTAGGTGGGTGTACTCTTCACTGGGTAAAAACCTGACTGGATGGCCGAACCCAGAGAGTTGTGGTCAATGGAGTTAAATCCAGTTGACAGCTGGTCGCAAGCTGTGTCAACCAGGGCTCAGTTCCAGGGCCGGTGTTGTTTAATATCTTTATCAATGACCTGGATGAGGGGATTGAGTGTGCCCTCACTAAGTTTGCAGATGACACCAAACTGGGTGGGAATGTCGAGGAGGGCTCTGGGCTGGGGGAAGAGTGGCTGGAAAGCTGCCTGGCAGAGAGGGATCTGGGTGTACTGGTTGACAGCCGGCTGATTATGAAGCCAGCAGTGTGCCCAGGTGGCCAAGAAAGCCAATGGCATCCCGGCTTGTATCAGAAATAGCGTGGCCAGCAGGAGCAGGGAAGTGATCGTGCCCCTGTACTCGGTACTGGTGAGGCCGCACCTCGAATACTGTGTTCAGTTTTGGGCCCCTCACTACAAGAATTGCTGGAACATGTCCAGAGGAGAGCAACAAAGCTGGTGAGGGGTCTGGAGTCTTATGAGGAGCAGCTGAGGGAACTGGGGTTGTTTAGCCTGGAGAAGAGGAGGCTGAGGGGAGACCTTATTGCCCTCTACAACTGCCTGACAGGAGGCTGTAGCCAGGGGGGAGTCGGTCTCTTTTCCCAAGTAACAAGATAGGACAAGGGGAAATAGTCTGAAGTTGCGCCAAGGCAGGTTTACGTTGGACAATAGGAAACATTTCTTCATTGAAAGGGTTGTCAGGCACTGGAATGGGCTGCCCAGGGAAGTGGTCGATTCCCCATCCCTGGAAGTATTTAAAAGAGGGGTAGACGAGGTGCTCAGGGACATGGTTTAGTGGTGGGATGGCAGGGTTAGGTTAACGGTTGGACTTGATGATCTTAAAGGCCTTTCCCAACCTAAACGATTCTATGATTCTATGATCATATGAGCTATTTGCTACCTCCTGTTAAGTTTTCTAAACCTCTGCTAAGTATTTTAGCCAGGTCATGTAATAAGAAAGGTCCTGCACATCCCACATCAAAATAAGCTTTTCATATTCCTAACACCTAAAAGAGCTTCAGGACAACTCTAGAATCTGCCAGTGGAGTAAGTTGGCTTTAAGTAGCAAGAGGTGACATTTACCATTTACTAATGGTTATGTATCTCATATTTAGAACAGTCTCCTTCATCAGTAAACAATATTTATCTAAAAGAACATATCCTAAGCCAAGACAAAGTCTTAGAATTTAAAACAAACTGTCATCTTTTAATTGCTGGTCTATTTTACTTAATATTTAAATCCTTTTTGAACACTTAATTTATTAACTTTTCTCTTCTTGATATGGCTGAAGAAATGACTTTCTGGTCCATTCTTTAAGCCTTCTCTGTTACTACTTCTTTCAAAATTAAACATTAATGACAAGAGCGATAATAAATAGAACAACAAGGTTTAAAAGCACAAGCTTTACAAGTTTCTCTGCCAACTGCATGAAAGGTATTGTTACACTACCGGAAAGAGGGAGAAAGATACAGTGTTTCATTTAACATGCTTAGCAGCCTGATACTTTACATCATAATTTGAAGAGTTTAAAAGCTGTCATTTTACACTTCCGTTACCAATGAACATTCCAGAATTTCAGTCTATTTACAAAACTTTGAGGGTTTTTTTAGCAACTGGAGACACGTTCAAGTTTCCATTTTATACATGGCTAATCATTTTGAGAGAGTCACTGAAGTTGTTAAAATGGCACGAAAGTTCAGACTTCTAAGATGGAAAAGAGAATTCCCAGTGATAATTGCCGCACAGAGAATATGCAGCCTTGTGTTTGGATAGCAACACTGAAAATGAATTGCTGGAAGC